TGAGTTATTTCTGAATAATAGAAAAAAAATTAATATAGTTGTAAGATAAACTTAGTTTTCTGCAAATTAATATTTTATTTAATCTGTGATGATCAAGATCTATATTCTTAGAAAGACGACATATGATTGAAACACAAATTGAAATCGATTCAAAATTGATTACAGTGAAAACAGATGGAGATTTTTACTTTTTGTAAATTATGACTATTCGCATCAAACAAACTATTGATATCACATTGAAATACTTTAGAAAATTTTAAATTTATAGTTTCCTTCCAATGAGAATATGTAGATGCTTTAGGATTAAAATGGCACCAAACATTATCTTGTCATCTGCTCTCCACATTAAGGCCTAAATACAATATTGTGCAGTGACGATTTACATATATCCGTCAACGTATATGTATTTTATCTCAATTTAGAACGAAAAAAAAAACAAAATAAACACGACATGACAATAATAATCATGTAAATGTTTGCTTACCTTCAAGTTATAGCTTGTGATTATTCATAGTGTATAAACAATAATCATTCAACCATGCCGTCAGATTGTTATGCAAGTATTCATGTTGGAAATTTCCCCTTTACATTATTTTTTATAGGCTTTCTGCTGCAAATTAAAAAAAAATGGTGACAGCTGAATACTAAAATCGTAATTATTCACATTTTTCTCTCTCATAAATGAGTGCTTATTCAATGTTTTTGAAACGATTGGCCAGTGAGCTCAAAGATTTGACCGAAAATCCTGAGGTTCAATCGTACTTTCAATATGAAAATTCTGGAAATGATGAGGAATTAAAACAATTCTGCATATTTGGATATTTATTACCACGAACCGAACCATATAAATATGGTTCATATAAAGTACGTATTATAGTATCTTCAGAATTTCCCTTCAAGACACCGAGCGTGCAACTGCTAACATATATTTATCATCCAGCAGTAAACGACGATGTTTCAAAGCCATATTTTTGTACTGCATGTGATTGTAGTGAATGGATGCCGTCTTTTCGTATAAGCCGATTGATAAAATATTTTGTGAATGTCATTGATCAACCGGAAGCTAATAAAACTTACTGTTTGATGAATGCAAAAGCTAAAGAATTATTTGATCAAAACAGAGCTGAATACATAGAAAAAGCTCTAGCTATGGTACAGAAATATTCGTGCCCACGACCCAATCAATCAACAATTTCATTGAAATTCGCTGCTAAACAAATGATTCGTAAAGAACTTCATTTTGATTTAAAAAAGTTCAGTCAATTACCGTTATCTACAAGCTTGAAACAATATTTGAATTCGCCGTTGGATACAAGTTAGAATATCTCAATACACTCAAAACGGTATCTTTTCTCATGAACTAATACGCTCGTTGTATTTGAGTTTTATACACTATTTTATGGTACAGCTTAATAAAAGGCAGCAGTAAAAAAAAACTCTTTTGAACCAGGAGGAACGAAAGGCTCCGTGGAGTTTGAAGTGTTCTGGGTGTGGGTGTAGATATGGTTGGGTGTGGCCGTATAGTTTACCGGCATGCATGCACAGGTTCAACCCTCCCTCACACACTCACACCCACCACCACCCCAATATGTTTTGTATACAATAAATTGAATATTGAATCTGAAAAAATTGTTCGAAAATTAAAAAATTTATTATCTAAAATTCAAATAGTGAACAAGGTTTTCTTCGTAATACATTTCGTGTTATATCTCATGAACGAAATGCTGAATATGTAATTGCAACAATAGAATATTATTCATTAGTTCAATTTTTATCCAAATTCAAAACATTTGATGAAACTGTGTGAATGGTAAGTTTACAAATTACTATCATTATCATCATCACTTTGTCCAACAAATGAGGATTGAAAAAAGAATGAAATTGATTGTGCAGTATAATTTAGAAAGAAGTCAATCTAAAGATGGAACACCAACATATATGTTTAGTAGAACAGATATAAAGGATGGTGGACATGTTTTAATAATGAATTATGGAACTCCCTGGACCAGAAATAGATCAATACTATCAAATGAAATTACTTGTTATTAAACATTTAAAATCATTGAAAGGATTATCAATTCTAATGAGAACGATATGCAATCAAGAAACTGGAATCGATACTATTATTGTCTATGGAGATAGTTTTGGTCTTGAAGTTGACAGAAAAGCGTTGTACAATGATGACATTGTAATGAAGTTCGACATAACTACAGGGCAAATAATAGAAAATATAAATTTCTGAAATAGTTAGATTTTTAATATTATTCTTTTCTTGAAATCAGA